TTCTAGAGGGAATTAGAGTAAAATAAAGATAGCCCCTTCGTACGAAAGGAGTTGGGTATGTTGACCTATGGTTTACCTGTTGTTTATTATCATAGCTTTTTTTAGTTTATCGTTATACTTTCACTAAAGTATATAAAAATAATAAGCATGGCAGGAAAGCTAAGTCAGTTAAAGATAAGTGCTGAAAGCATTTAAGCGCAAAGCTTACTTTAAGATACTCTTATATACACGTGGTTTAACACTACGAAATGTAACTTATTATAAAGTTTTTTTCTTTATAATATATAGGCTTTAGTTGTAATAATCTTGAGATTTTTAGATATAAAGTACTAATTTTTTAATATACTCATTATTAAACATATCTAATTTTTATAATAACTACAACATTTTTGCCTGGTTAGCATAAAAGAAATGCAACCGTTTTGTAATCGGTAGAAGTAAGTGCGATACTTGCACTGGGCTGACCCAATGGTCAAGCCTGGTTAAGACATAACATTTTCACTGTTAGTTCGGGAGTTCGAACCTCCCTTGGGTTAAAAGAGATTAGCTCAGCGGTAGAGCTGTCGCTTTACACGCGAAAGGTCAAGTGTTCGAATCACTTATCTCTTAGTGCCTCGGGCACCACTTTACGAGCTATATATGAAATAAATCCGAAATTAATTAAATATGAATTATGATGTTATCATCTAAAAACTAAATCTTATTATTTATAAAATGAATACTTATGCATGTCTACATTTATTGACACAGTTTAAGGGAATGTGTAAATCTTATCTTGTTTTCCTATTAGTATCAGATCACGCGATTCAAACTAATAATACGCAAATATATAATAATCTTTTTGATATTCTTTATCTTAGACGGGAAATTTTATTATTAAGAGCAGACTATCTAAATAATAGAATAACAGCCGAAATTAATACAAAAATTAGTGAATTGGATCCTGCTCTTACTGAAGAGATTAGTACCCTTTTACAGGATAAGGATTTATTAAAGGCCTCCCTATATAGTATGATAGAAAGTATAAGTTAATACATTTTATTTTAATTAGAATAAATGCGGTAATATATTTTTTAACATTAAAATTTAGACTAACTAAATTTTAGTAGATATAAATATTTAGGCTGTCTAGCCGCCGTTAATGCGGGTTAATGTAATAGTCAACATATTTGGCTCATGACCAAAAAATTTAGGTGCAACTCCTAAGTCCGCAATTTAGAAAATTAAATCTTTAATTTACATTAAAAGGTTATAGCTTAATTGGTAAAGCCAGCTGCTCATGATAGCTTAGATAAATGTTCAACTCATTTTAGCCTTATGTGTAACTTTTTTTTTTAATCCGAGTGCTGGAATTGGTAGACAGTCTTAACTTAAAATTAAGTGACGCGAGTCGTGAACGTTCGATTCGTTCCTCGGGTAATTATGTAAAGGGGTTATAGTTTAATTGGTAAAACTGCGATTTTGCATATCGTTATTTCAGGATCGAGTCCTGATAACTCCAGAACAATTAAATCAATAGATCAGCTCGAGAAGCTCAACCTGGTAGAGCAGAACATTGAAGCTGTTTTGGTTATAAGTTCAAATCTTATCTCGAGCATATAAAGTAATAATTTTGTGTATAGATACTTACTTTTTTATGGGTATGCTGAAACATGGTAACCAGGTTCCACTTAGGATGGAATAGTTGTTAAACTTTACAAGTTCAAGTCTTGTTACCCATACTGTAATTACTGTGGATTATTTAAATATGTTGTTGACTAATAGGTAAGTCATAAATTTTTGGTATTTACTATTGAGTGTTCGAATCGCTCCAACATAATAATTAAGATTTTATTAATAATGTTTAGAGTTTTTTAGTAGTAACTTTATTTTATTGAAAAAGCGGTTGGTATAAGGTAAATTAGCATAAAAAGGTACTATTTTAGTTTGAGGCGGGAGGGAGGGATAGCTAGGATAGTTTAATAGGTAAAACAATAATTTCATGCGTTATTAATGAGAATTCAACTTTCTCTCCTGGTATATATGATACCAGGATACCAGATGAGGAGAGACTAATCAAGTAATAAAAATTTTAGTTACATATTATGATAAGCGATCAGATTTCTCAAATAAAAAATGAGGTAAACCAAGGAAAAATTTTAGAATTAACCATGTGAAAAGAAAGATGATTTCTTTCATCTAATGCAAAAGATATAGGTACGTTGTATCTAATGTTTGCACTATTTTCTGGTTTAATAGGAACAGCTTTTTCTGTTTTAATTCGTTTAGAATTATCTGGACCTGGAGTACAATATATAGGAGACAATCAACTATATAATAGTATAATAACAGCACACGCTATATTAATGATATTTTTTATGGTTATGCCAGCATTAATAGGAGGATTTGGAAATTTTCTATTACCATTGCTAGTCGGTGGTCCTGATATGGCGTTTCCTAGATTAAATAATATAAGTTATTGATTATTAATACCTAGTTTATTATTATTTGTATTTTCTACAACAATCGAGAATGGAGCTGGTACAGGTTGAACATTATATCCACCATTATCAGGTATACAAAGTCATAGTGGACCTAGTGTAGATTTAGCTATTTTTGCTTTACATTTAAGTGGAGTTAGTAGTTTATTAGGTGCTATAAATTTTATCTCAACTATATTAAATATGAGAAGCCCAGGTATACGTTTACATAAATTAGCTTTATTTGGATGAGCTGTAGTAATAACAGCAGTACTTTTATTATTATCTTTACCAGTTTTAGCAGGAGCAATAACGATGGTATTGACTGATAGAAATTTTAATACATCTTTTTTTGAATTAGCAGGAGGAGGTGATCCTATATTATATCAACATCTTTTCTGATTTTTTGGACATCCAGAGGTTTATATTTTAGTTATACCAGGTTTTGGTATAATAAGTACTGTAATTTCAGCTAGTTCTAGTAAAAGTGTGTTTGGTTATTTAGGTATGGTTTATGCTATGTTATCTATTGGTGTTTTAGGGTTTTTAGTTTGATCTCATCATATGTATACTGTAGGTTTAGATGTGGATACAAGAGCATATTTTACTGCTGCTACTTTGATTATTGCAGTACCTACAGGTATTAAAATATTTAGTTGATTAGCTACTTGTTATGGTGGATCTTTACATTTAACACCTGCTATGTTATTTGCTTTAGGTTTTGTAGTTATGTTTACTATTGGGGGTTTAAGTGGTGTTGTTTTAGCTAACGCATCTCTTGATATTGCTTTCCATGATACTTATTACGTTGTAGCTCACTTCCATTATGTGTTATCTATGGGTGCTGTATTTGCTTTATTTGCTGGTTGATATTTTTGAATACCTAAAATATTAGGTTTATCTTATAATTTATTTGCAGGTAAAGTACATTTCTGGCTTTTATTTATAGGTGTAAATGTTACTTTTTTTCCTCAACATTTCTTAGGTTTACAAGGTATGCCTAGAAGAATTAGTGATTATCCTGATGCTTTTGCTGGTTGAAATTTAGTAAGTAGTTTTGGTTCTATTATTAGTGTAATAGCTACTTGATATTTTTTAAATCTTTTATATAAACAATTAACTGAAGGTGCTATTGTTTCAAGATATCCTTGATTAACACCTCAATATCATAGTGATTTATTTCAAATTTTATTTAATAGAAATAATAATTCATTAGAATGATGTTTAACAAGTCCTCCTAAACCACATGCATTTGTGAGTTTACCTTTACAATCTAGTGTTCTTTACATAGGTTAAAAATACTATAAATTATATAGGCAGAACAACTAAAAGCTATTCTACCATACTATATAGGGAGGCCTTTAATAAATCCTTATCCTGTAAAAGGGTACTAATCTCTTCAGTAAGAGCAGGATCCAATTCACTAATTTTTGTATTAATTTCGAATGTTATTCTACTATTTAGATAGTCTGCTCTTAATAATAAATGTTGCTGTTGTATATAAAAAATCCGAAAGATTATAATGTATTAGCATAAAATTATTATCAGCTGCGAAATCTGATACTAATAGACCTAAAAGAGGCATTTTTTCAAAGACATCAGATGTATTAAGAATTAAAAAAAAAAGTGTGATTATAAGCCTGTAGTAATAAAAGCATGTTATAAAAAACATGTTAGTTTAATGGAAGAACTATGCGCTACGAACGTATTAGTACAAGTTCGATTCTTGTACATGTTTATTACATAAAACTAGGTATATTTTTTTAAGATTAGAATTTAAAGTAATTTAAATGATAACTTTTAAAGTAATCTTTTTTTAACTATTAAAAAACAAAAAATGTTACAAGCAGCAAAAATAATTGGAACAGGATTGGCAACAACAGGTTTAATTGGAGCCGGTGTGGGAATAGGTGTAGTTTTTGGTGCACTTATATTAGGTGTAGCTAGAAACCCTTCATTAAGAGGACAGTTATTCTCTTATGCTATTTTAGGTTTTGCTTTTGCCGAAGCAACAGGTTTATTTGCTTTAATGATGGCTTTCCTATTATTATACGTAGCCTAATTTAATCTAAAATAAATATGAAATAATTAGTTAGAAAAAAGAGTTTTTAATATTAAAAATATTTAGTCTAACTCTTAAATTGGTTTTAATTATTAAAGTTATACTGACATTAATTAATGTCTAAAAAATATAATATGATAATGTTTTTAACTCATGTAATACAAATATTTGTCTTATGCTTAATTCTCAAAAGTGTCCCAAGAGAGTACTAGTGGTAATATAACAAATATTGATATATTATATACAAACTCGAGCAAGATTATGTATAAATTTAGTTTTATTTTTTAATTATAAAAAAAGAATTAAATATATGAATTATAAGACAAAAAGTTTTTTTCAAAGCCACCCGTTTCATCTGGTGTCACCATCACCTTGACCTTTATACACAAGTGGTTCTTTATACACATTAACAACAGCAGGTGTTTTAAGTATGCATGGATTTTATTTATCTAGTTATTTATTTTTTTTAGCACTTTTAAATTTAATATTTTCAATGTCATTTTGATTTAGAGATGTTATATCTGAAGGTACTTATTTAGGAAATCACACTAATGCTGTACAAAGAGGTTTAAATATGGGTGTTGGTTTATTTATTATATCTGAAGCTTTATTTTTTTTAGCAATTTTTTGAGCTTTTTTTCATAGTTCATTATCACCTAATATTGAAATAGGTACACAGTGACCACCTATGGGTATTAGTGGTATAAATCCGTTTGAATTACCTTTATTAAATACAATAATATTACTATCTTCTGGTGTAACTATTACATATGCTCATCATTCTTTAATTCAAGGTAATAGAAATGGAGCTTTATTAGGTTCTATTTTTACAGTATTATTAGCTGTTATATTTACTATTTTTCAAGGTGTTGAGTATACAGTATCATCTTTTACTATTTCTGATGGTATATATGGTTCTTGTTTTTATTTTGGTACAGGTTTTCATGGTTTCCACGTTATTATTGGAACTGTTTTTCTAGCAGTAGGGTTATGGCGTTTAATAGCCTATCATTTTACAGATCATCATCATTTAGGTCTAGAATCAGGAATACTTTATTGACATTTTGTAGACGTAGTTTGGTTATTTCTTTTTATATCAATATATTATTGAGGTTATTAATTTTGTTAGTTAAAGTTACTAAATAAATAGTCGAATAAAGGAAAAGAAGTAACTAGATATATAGTCGAAACAGGTAACAATAGTACCTTCAAATATTAAGTAGGAAAAGTCGCTAGAGGTAAAGCAAGATATTTGCTAAATATTGTGTATATTCACTTAGATGTTCGAATCATCTCTTTTCCGTTTAAATATAGGTGAGTATAGTTCAATAGGTAGAACAGCTGTATGTGGCATAGTAAATCCTTGTTCGATTCAAGGTATTCACCCTTAAATTTATTTTTTTTTTGTTATATTTATATTCTTATTAGCTTAATGGTAAAGCGGAATACTTCTAATATTTTAATCTTAGTTCGAATCTGGGATAAGAATAGTTGCTAAAGTAACGTATTAAAAAGTTTATTTCTAAACTTTTTACCTGTGAGCAAAGTTTACTAAACAACAATTTTTTTAATGTAAATTCAATTTTCTCTTCTAGTAAATTTGGCTCATAGACACCTTATCAGGATATACTAACCAAGTAATAAAAAATTTTTAGTCTATATGAAAAATTTTAATAAAAAAAAAATGATCCAACCATTGTACGTCACCTTAAGGAAAATATACAGCTTTATGATGATAACACTACTTGAGCTGAGAGAATTGACCTAGTGTTAGAAAATATTTATAATTATTTTTGATAACATATAGTGTTTTAGAGCTTATTCTATAAAAGATTAAAAAATTTAACATGTCTATATCTTTAATAAATATTTGTACTAGTATAGTATTTTATTATACTAGTTTAGCTTTAACTATAGAATTAGATACTCCAACACCTTGAGGTTTATTTTTTCAAGATAGTGCTTCACCTCAAATGGAAGGTATAGAGGAATTACATAACAATATTATGTTTTATTTAGCAATAATATTATTTGCTGTAACATGAATGATAGTAATAATAATTAAAAACTATGTATCTACAAAAACATTAATATCTCATAAATATATGAATCATGGTACATTAATAGAATTAATATGAACAATTACACCTGCAGTTATATTAATATTAATTGCTTTTCCTTCTTTTAAATTATTGTATTTAATGGATGAAGTAATGGATCCTTCATTAGTAATATATGGAGAAGGACATCAATGATATTGAAGTTATCAATATCCTGATTTTACAAATGTAGATAATGAATTTATAGAATTTGATTCATACATAGTACCTGATGCTGACTTAGAAAAAGGAGGTTTTAGAATGCTTGAAGTAGATAATAGAGTTATTATACCTGAATTAACACACACAAGATTTGTAGTATCAGCTGCAGATGTAATACATTCTTATGCTTGTCCTTCCTTAGGTATTAAATGTGATGCATTTCCAGGTAGATTAAACCAATCATCTGTGTATGTAAATAGAGAAGGAACATATTTTGGACAGTGTTCAGAAATATGTGGTATATTACACAGTTCTATGCCTATAGCTATACAATCTGTAAGTTTACCTAAATTCTTACTTTGATTACGTTCACAAATGGAGGATTAATGTTAAATTTTTTAGATTTAAATAATTTTAAACGTTTAAAATTGCAAATAATTTTTAGGTTAAGCTTTAAATCTAATTCTAGAAAAAAAAGTCTAAATCACACAGAATCTTTAAATAATACAAGATCTAAACAATTAAAAAAAATATATAAAAGCTATGTAACTTCAAGATCTTTTTGCTCTAGTAATGTAAAACTTAAAGCTAAAACATATGTATCTATAAAAGATTTAACTAGCAATCTTGAAGCTGAATCATCTGCAGATGCAGCAAGAAGAATTAATACAAATCCTAATCCTAATCGTATAGCATGTTTAGTAAGAAGAATATATACTATTTTTATAGAAAGAGATTTAGATACAAAAATAAATAATATGAATGATTTACTTAGAGAGAATTTTTGAACAGGAAATCAAGAAATGGGAGATAAAGCTAAAATTGCTTTAGATAAGATGCTTAGACATGAAGTTTTAGAAGGAGAAGAAGTTTTTTGTGTGGATAATTTTTTTCTTGAAGAAGGTATAAGTCTTGAAGGTCTTAGGCTTGAAGATTTAAGATCTAAAATTGAAACTTGTCAAAGTTTTTATTTAGATAAATACTCTGAATTACAAGAAAAATTAAATATGTGAACCGAAGAAAAAAATAATTTGTTAATGCAACAAGATGAAGAAGAATCTAGTCAAGATAAAGGTAAACAACCCGACTATAATTTACATCCTTGATATAATACATATGATAATATAAATAGTGATGAGTTAAATTTTAAATGTTTAGGGAGTAAAAAAAGAAAATTTTATGAAATTAATGGTTTAGATCTTTATGATGATGATAAAACAATTAAAAAGGCTAAATTTAATCATAAGACCTCTTTATTAGATGACTTTGCAGATATTAGTTGTGAACCCTTAGATATTATAGATTTAGATGGATAGATATCTAGAATTAGGAGCAATTAAATCTATAATTACATTAGTAAATTATTTGGTTACTTAATGAGTAATCTAAAATTTTCCAGTGCAAAATAAAAATTGATATGTTAACATATATAAATCTAAAAAAAAAAATTAAATGAATCTTTCTTTAATACTATTTTTAATAGGGATATTAGGTTTTGTTTTAAATAGAAAAAATATAATATTAATGCTTATTTCAATAGAAATAATGTTATTATCAATAACATTTTTAATATTAATAAGTTCACTTAATTTTGATGATATATTAGGTCAAACTTTTGCTATTTATATTATAACAGTAGCTGGTGCGGAATCTGCTATAGGTTTAGGTATATTAGTTGCTTATTATAGATTAAGAGGTAGTATTTCAATACAATATAAATAATGTATTTAGCTTTGATTTTTTTACCTTTATTAGGTTCTATAGTATCAGGTTTTTTTGGTAGAAAAGTAGGTGTAAAAGGATCACAAATGATAACTTCAATTTGTGTAATATTAACTACATTTTTAGCTTTGTTAACTTTTTTCGAAGTAGGTTTTAATAATATACCAGTAACAATCCATCTTATAAGATGGATTGATACAGAATCATTGAATGTTTTATGAGGTTTTCAATTTGATTCTTTAACAGTAACTATGTTAATACCAGTTTTAATAGTTTCAAGTTTAGTACATATCTATTCAATAGGTTATATGAGTACAGATCCACATAATCAAAGATTTTTCAGTTATTTAAGTTTATTTACTTTTATGATGATTATTTTGGTTACAGCAAATAACTATTTATTAATGTTTGTAGGTTGAGAAGGTGTAGGAGTTTGTTCTTATCTTTTAATAAATTTTTGATTTACTAGAATAGCAGCAAATCAGAGTTCTATTTCAGCCTTTTTAACTAATAGAGTAGGTGATTGTTTTTTAACTATAGGTATGTTTATATTATTATGATGTTTTGGTAATATAGATTATTATCTAATCTTTTCATTAGCTCCTTATATTAATGAAAACATTATAACAATGGTAGGTATTTGTTTATTAATAGGTGCTATGGCTAAAAGTTCTCAAATAGGTTTACATGTTTGATTACCTCAGGCTATGGAAGGTCCTACACCTGTATCAGCTTTAATACATGCTGCCACAATGGTTACAGCAGGTGTATATTTATTAATGAGATCTTCACCTCTAATAGAATATAGTTCCACTGTTTTAATTATTTGTTTATGAGTAGGTGCTATTACTACTGTATTTAGTTCTTTAATTGGTTTATTTCAACAAGATATTAAAAAAGTTATAGCTTATTCAACTATGAGTCAATTAGGTATGATGGTAATTGCTATAGGTTTATCTTGTTATAATATAGCTTTATTTCATTTAGTTAATCATGCTTTTTATAAAGCACTTTTATTTTTAGGTGCTGGAGCAGTAATACATTCAGTAGCTGACAATCAAGATTTTAGAAAATTTGGAGGTTTAAGACCTTTTTTACCTTTAACTTATTCAGTTATGTTAATAGCTTCTTTTAGTTTAGTTGCTATACCTTTTATGACAGGTTTTTATTCTAAAGATTTTATACTTGAATCTGCATATGGTCAATTTTTTTTTTCTAGCACTGCTGTTTATTTTATAGCTACTATAGGTGCTATGTTTACTACTTTATACTCTGTTAAGGTTTTATATTTAACTTTTTTAACTAATCCCAATGGACCTTTAATCAGTTATAAACAAGCACATGAAGGTAATTTATTTCTAAATTTACCTTTGATTATATTAGCTATATTTTCTATATTTTTTGGTTATATAGGTAAAGATATATTTATTGGATTAGCTACTAATTTTTATTCTGATAACAGTTTATTTATACAACCTTGTCATGAAATTATGCTAGAGACTGAGTTTGCTGTAGCTACTATTTTTAAATTGTTACCTTTTATTTTTACTATATCATTAAGTCTCTTATCTTTATTATTATCTGAATATTTACCTAAATATTTAGTTATTTTTAAATTTTCTACATGAGGTTATAATATTTTTAGTTTTTTTAATCAACGTTTTTTGATAGAACTTTTTTATAATAAATATATAACTGAATCTATCCTTAAATGAGGAGGTCAAACTACTAATATTATTGATAAAGGTTCTGTTGAGTTATTAGGTCCCTATGGTTTAGAAAAAGGATTAGTTGGCCTTAGTAAAAATATAGGTAAATTAAGTACAGGTGTTATTACAACTTATGCTTTATATATATTAGTAGGTCTAATATTTTATATTTCATTGCTCTACTTTTCTTTTAGTGATAATAATTTACTAGTTTTAATTCTTTTTACTCTTTTTTCTATTGTAAATAACAGATCTTTGTATTTAACAATAAAAGAATAAAAAAATTTTTTTTATTATGTTATTAATTGGTATATTTTTATTATTATTGTCTAATTCGCTGTCTTTTAGACGAGATATTACTATATTTTATTCCAGAATAGGAATGATTATATTATTTTATTGTATATTTTTTACATATAATAATTTATATATTGCATATTTGGATCTAGGTATAGGATTATTTGGAGGTTTATTTCATACATCCTCTATAACACTTCTTTTTCATTTATTAATATATATAATAAGTTTATTAATATTAAGTTTAACAGGGTTTTACCCTAGAAAAATTTTAACACAAAAATCTTTAACATTTAATATTTTTTTATTTACAAAGTTAAAGTTATATATTTCAAATATAATAAATAAAAAAGGTGAACAATATACTATAACAGAATATACTTTAATTTTATTATTTGTAATAGTAGGTAGTGTTTTATTAATTTCAAGTAGTGATTTTATTTCTCTTTTTTTATCTATTGAATTACAAAGTTATGGTTTATATTTATTATCGACTATTT